AAGACGAAGAGTTCTACTCTCCCAAAGGCTCCCTAAACGGCAGGGAAAGTTCTTTTGGCAATGGATCAGCTTCCAGAAGGGCGTTTGCTGCGATAGAAGAGGAGAATTTCAATGCGCCCGCTTCGAGTTCCTCATCAACTTCTTCATCTTCCCTTTCCGATCCAGATCCAGGTCCGGGTCTCCCGCAAGGTCCGTTTCGTTGAGTCTTTCCCCAATGTATCATCACCCACGATTTCGAAGAAGTCCGCCGTGTCGGAAAAGTAAGGAGAGAAAAAAAATTATTATATAACAATATTATTAATTTATCGAAGTTTTACTATATTTGAATTTGCGAAAATAGACGGTGCATCCAATTGGCAAGTGTCCAAATTGAATACGTTTGTTCATAGTTGACAATTTTAGTTGACTTTAAATCTTTTAATAATCGTTTTTTTCTTTTTTTGGTCAAACTTTAATAGTCAAGTGGTAAAGTTGTTTGCACGTTAGGAATGGAATAAATAAAGTCAGGTATAGTATAGAATATATAAGGCCATCTCCAACACTGTTTTAAAGTTTGTTGTCCATATCTTTAATTTGGCACACGTACAATGTTATGCAACGCAACTTTTAACTATATACTCCAACAACATTGTTTACAATTTAAACAACTACTATATTTTATTATTTTTTCATATTTTAATTTTAAACTTTCCGTAAATTTGGAAATCAAAAGGAATGGATTGTGGTAGTTTTATTATTATTTTTCTATTTTTGTACAATTGGTTAAAGTTTGACTTTGGTGTTCCAAATTTGAGCAACCAAATTTACAATTTGTTAAAATTTGCATTTTTCCATTATGTTGTTGGAGTTCTCTTTTTGGCTTCAAAATGTGTAAAAAGTGCAAATAATAGAATTGCATTTGACTGCTGGAGTTGCCCTAAAGCATGGATCGAGCTAGGAGAGTCAGTTTTTAGGGAGACAAAGTAAACGGTCGCCTATGCCCTCGGATTTTTATGGAAATTTAGGGTCCTCAAATATTTTTATATACACTTTATATATTAGTACTTATTTTTAAAATTTATTATACTTAATATTTTTTAACATCAATTCTAAAATAAATTTAAAATCAATGAAAAATAAATGTTTTTATAATTTTCTTAACCTTGGAACCCCTAAATATTAAATTTATAATGTCTTAATTATTTATTTGTATTTCTAAAATAAGAATCAATATTCGTTAGTTTATTCAAGATTCTTTTTATAAATATTTATGAAGTCTATTTGCCACAATGATTATATGTCATGGAAGAAGTGAACGAGCAAATCATCTTGCTAATTTTGCAATTTTTTCATATTTCTTGTTATTTTATATTCATACATTTCAAAAAGTATTTCGGGGCACTGGCCCTGAACCCCCGTAATCTTTTAGTCTATTATTTATATTTTTTTAGTATATTCATTCTCAAATTACCTAAAAGAATGATTGGTTATAAATAGCGGTGCTCGTTTTGAGATGTTCTTTAAGAGCCTGTTTGGCTAAGCTTATAAGCTCCTAAAAACATCTTATAAGATGTTTAGGAGCTTATAAGTTGTTAAAAGGTGTTTGGTAAAAAAATTGCAAAAGATCTTATTTTTTCCAAAAATAAGCTGTTAGGGAGCTTATAAGATGTTTTTAAAAAAGTACCTCTACCCCACCTTTTTTCTTTAAGATCTTATTTGCTTCTTTACTAAAACACTTAAAATACAAAATTACCCTCAAATACTTTATTATATTACATGAATACTAATAATATTTATATTTTATCAAAACAACGTATTCTTGTAATCAAGATTAATAATTAGTTAAATATAATTATCGTAATTATCATAATAATTGTAAAAAAAATTATTTTCTATTTATATTTTATATGTATATAAAAATACACGAATATTCTTATTATCTCCATAATAAATTATATTTCTTTCATCTATAAAAAAAAATTATATTTCTTTTACAACTTTTATTTTATATTATTATATAATTTTATTTTATTATTATTATTTGAAAAAATAATTTGTAAATATTATAATAATATTTTAGGAACAAAAGTATTTGAGTCAAATAAGTTTAACAATTATACTGGCGTCATGTACTTTTTTGTCATTATAGCAATAAACAGACCTTTTATTTCCAAACATCTGAACAACTTATAAAAACAAAAAGTAACTTATAAGCTACATATCCAAACACTTTAAAAAATAATTTTTAAAATAAGATCTAACAGCTTATCAGCTCCTAAAACATCTTATCAGATGTAGGAGCTTATAAGATGTTTTAAATAAGCTTAGCCAAACGGGCTCTAAATCTCGCCTAGGGCCCCTGAATTATCAGGAACGGACATGCGAGCTAGTATGTACATGTGTTATTTGATCACCAAACGTCACCGCAAATATAGAACTCCACATCTAAATTTAACGTTTTTCCTTTTTTTCCCTTTTTTTATTTGTTTTTTGCTTCTTTTTTTTTTGTTACAATTGATAATAAATTTACAAACGCATTTTGTGTACCAGAGTGAAAGTCGGAACATAATTTACGCCGTTTTGGTTCGAAAATTTTGATTTTGCAACAACTTTTTTCATTTCGATTTCTAAAATTCCGATTTTCGATATTTTCTGATTTTTTTATTGGATTTGGATTATATAAAAAATATTTAAAATATTTTAATTTGATGCACATTTTTACACAGTTACGGGGCGTGCAATCTGGTCAACACCACCTTTTCAAGGTTCCTATCTACAGGCGAAACTTTCTTTTGAGATGTGGCTTCAACACCTATTGGTCACTCTCCCAAGTAATTTATTGCAATTGGCCTTGGTGGTTATGTGGAAAGCATGGGATATTAGAAATCAAGAGCTCCATAGTGAAAACGAAATGAGAGTGGCAGATGTACTTGATTGGTGCTCGGCGTACCTAGATCTGTTTCACCGAGCTAACGTTAGGCATATGATTGATTAGGCGTCAGCTGGATCACCCCTCCACTTAGCTTCCCCCTCCACAAGGCACTCTTAGAGTGAACGTAGAAGCAACTTTTCCAAAAGACAAGAACTATTTCCGTACATCAATGGTGGCACGCGACTTGCGGGGTCAATGTATTTATTGGAAAGTTTACCAACATTTGGGTCGACCGAACCCGGCGCATCGTGAGGCTAAGACAGTACTCCAGGCCATCAAGAAAGCGGCAGAGAAAGCGGCAGACAAGACGTGGCACTCACTTACTATCGAAGGGGATAACATACAGGTGATGACAACCCTTAAAAATGGAGGATCAAACTCCTTCTCTTTTAGAGCCGTTATTGAAGACTGTTTGAATTTGGCGTGTTATTTTCATTTCATATCCTTTAATTTTATTAAAAGAATTGGTAACTGAATGACACTTTTTGCATGGAAGGTTTTATTAATATTTCGTCTTAAAAAGAAATTGATGATACCACAAATACACACACAAAACCTGAATATATATATATATATATATATATATATATATATATATATATATATATATATATATATATATATATATATATATATATATATATATATATATATATACACACATGTACGTTAATTCAATGCTACTACTTTATAAAATTAATAACACTCATCTTCGATTAATTTTGTAAGTGGTGATTAAAAAGATAAATTACAATTTTATTCTTAAAATACTAACTTAATTTTATTAAATAATTTTTTATAAACATTTCACATATATATAATACCAGAATCTAACAAATTTAGAGGGTGTTTGGCTAAGCTTATAAGATGTTAAAAGGAGCTTATAAGATGTTTTAGAGCTTATAATCTCTTTCAAAGTGTTTGGTAATTTTTTTTAAAAAGATCTTATTTTTTTTTTAAATAAGCTGTTGGAGAGCAAATAAGATCTTTTTAAATAAGTACCTCTACCCCACCTTTTTATTTAAGATTTTATAATGAGTAAAAATAGGAAATAAGCTTATTATCCAAACACTCTAAAAATTAATCCTAAAAATAAGATGTAACAGCTTATCAGCTCTTAAAATATCTTATCAGACGTAAGAGCTTATCAACTGTTTAAAATAAGCTTAGCCAAACACCCTCTTAATACAAGTTATAATCTAAGGAATCAAATATGTTATTAATTAAATATTTTTAATCAATAGTGATTTTAGAGGGTGCTTGGCTAAGCTTATAAGATGTTAAAAAGAGCTTATAATATATTTTAAAGCTTATAAGCTCTTCCAAAGTGTTTGGTAATTGGTTTTAAAAAGTCTTAATTTTTTTAAATAAGTTGGAGAGCAATTTTTTTTTTTTAAAAGTAACTCTACCTCACCTTTTTATTTAAGATTTTTTGTAGGGAAAAATTGATATATTAATCAATGTGCCAAATTGGCTAAAGATAAAGGTAAATTGTCTCCTTCAATACAGGTGAAAAAATGCAACGAAGCTAAACTAACCGATTACATAAGCGCTTGACAAAATGAACTTTAAAAAAAGAGACAATAGCTAAAAACTTAAACATCTCCTCCAAATAGGCACCGTAGGAGTATGTGTGGAAGTTACCCTCTAGAAATGCACTAATCACAGCCTTGCAATCTCCTTCTAGTATAACCGACGTCCAGGCCTGCATCGAAGCCATTTCTGTTGTCATCATAACTGCGTGCGCTTCACCATCAGCCACAGTCGGTCTTCCCGGAACGCACTTCATCCTACACTTGACACACACACCTAGACGGTCGCGCGCGACAGCAACAATTCGGTAGTATTTAAGATCTTATAATAAATACAAAAAAGAAAATAAGTTCATTATCCAAACACTCTAAGAATTAATCCTAAAAATAAGATGTAACAGTTTATCAACTATTAAAATATGTTATCAAACATAAGAGCTTATCAGCTATTTAAAATAAGATTAACCAAACCCCCTCTTAATTCAATTTAATTTAATCCGATCTAATCCAATATAGACACGCAAAACAAGTATTCTTCCTCGATTACGTTGTTGACTTGAACTTTTTTCAAACGCATTAATTGGACAGCACCTATGACCTATATATATTATAATAATAATCTACAAACGAGTAAATATAACTTCTTGGCCATGCCACACGAGAAACTAGATATGCTACACACCGGGGCTTCCAACCCTATAAATATCTGGCATGATTATATAATATAGTTTCAATTTCAAAACAATTAAGCAAATTAAAAGAAAATAAAATGGGCAATCTTGAAATATTTCTAGCAATTATACTTGGCTGTTTCATTCTCCTCTTCCTCTTATTACCATCAACAACAAATATTAATTACATTTATACCCTTCTCCCATGGAACTGGCCATTCATGAAGCTGATGCCCACAGCTTACCTCAAAAGCCACCAACTCTACGACAAAATAACCGACGTTTTATCCGAACACAACGGCACCGTTTTGTTTCAGACATCGTGGTTCACAAACCTCGATATCCTCGTCACGAGTGATCCGGTCAACGTTCAACACGTGATGAACTCGAAATTCACAATCTATCAGAGAGGGACGGAGTTTCGAAAAGCGTTCGATTTCTTGGGGGATGCGGCTTTCATTAAAGAGCTCGACGAGTGGAAAGAAGACAAGAAATTCACCCATGCTTTCTACAAAGAAATTCGGTTCCAAAAATCGATACCGGAAACAACCCGCCACACTCTCGAGAAAGCCCTAATCCCGGTTCTCGACCACGCCTCGAGTCAAAACCAGGTCGTTGACTTGCAGGGCCTTTTCCACAGGTACATGCTGGACGCCACGTGTCTCATGGCTACAGGATCCGACTTGGGATCCCTCCGGGTCGGGTTTCCGGATTGCCCATTGCTGGACGCGATGGATGACGTGGCGGAGGCGGTTTTCTGGCGGCAGATTCTGCCGGAGAGGGTTTGGAGGATGCAGCGGTGGTTGAATATTGGGAAGGAGAAGAAAATGGGCCATGCATGCGTCACTCTGAATCGAATACTGGCGGGTTACGTGTCCGGCAAGAAACGAGGAAAAGACGACGACGAAAGTTTCGATGTTTTGAAGTTTTATATGGATGAGGCTTCGACCGAAAAGCAAACGAGTAATGTGTTTCTAGCTGCGAATTTAATGACGCTTTTATTCGCCGGGAGGGACACGTCTGCCGCACTCCTGACCTGGTTTTTCTACCTCTTGTCGAAAAATCCGTCGGTCGAAAACGCGATTTCAGAAGAAATCGGGCGATGTGGCGGTGATAGTATCGCACCCGGCCGAAAGCACGTTTTTTTTAGACCCGAAGAATTAAGTAAATTAGTTTATCTGCAGTGCGCTTTGATGGAAACCCTAAGGCTTTTCCCCACTGCGCCGGTTATAATTAGGGATCCGAATCGAGAAGACGTGCTACCGGGTGGACAGAGAGTGGGTAAGAAAACGAAAGTCGTGCTTTGCACTTACGCGATGGGGAGGTCGCCGGAGATTTGGGGCGAAGACTGCGGCGTGTTTAAGCCGGAGAGATGGATGTGTGGTGGTGATGGTGGTGGAGGGGTGAAAGTGAAGCATGTGGGTTCGAATAGTTTTCTTGCGTTCGGGGCGGGTCCTTGGGCTTGCCCCGGAAAAGAAGTGGCGTTTGCGAGGCTGAAAGGTGTCGCGGCCACGATTATGCACAATTATCACGTGCGTGTTTCGGAAGGGCAGACGGCGAGTCCGAGTGTTTCGGCTTTGCTTACCATGAGGCATGGTTTGAAGGCCACACTTTCAAACAGATGGATTTGATCAATTATTATTTGTGTTACTAGCTGCTGAGATTTTCCGAATTCTGCCGATTACGATCTGAAAATATCCGAATTTGGAATTGTAGTTTTCATTCAGGTTTTCATAGTTCCCATTTCCAATTTTTCTGAATTTATTTGGATGGAAATTACTGGAAATTTCGATTTTCGATCCGATTTTAGTTCTAAATATTCTGAGTGTTTTTTGAAATATATAATATAATTTTATGATATATTTTGTAATTGCATAATATATAACTTATGTTATATTTTATACGAACAATATAAATATCGAAGGAACAAGTAAATTAAAACATTAGAAAATATTAATTGGTATGAGAAACTCTCTGTTACATTTTTCCTTATCAAAAAATTTATGTTTCAATTTGTTGTTCCTACATGTGGTTTTGTTTAATGCGTTATGTGGAACTTTCTTTTAGATATTCTTGCATTTTCATGCACATTTTGAAAAAGATAGAAAAATATTGTGAAATTCTCATTATATTTGTATTTGGAACAAGATATTTTAAATTATATATAGTTTCTGAAATTTTCAAAATCCCGCGACCCCGGGACATTCTGAAACTGAAAAGAATTTTGGTATTTTGATTTATCTGGAACGGAAATTGAAACCTATTTTTCACTTCTAAACAAAATTAGATTTTTTTTGAAAAAGTCATTTCCGATCCATTTTGTCTGATTTCCACCCATTCATGTTATATATTTAACAAAAAATACATATTTTACATGATCATACATATTTTACACACATTTATACAGATATTTGTGGGAAAGGGTTGATTGTAGTTTTAATTAAATATCACAAAATAACGACAATTAATATAGCTTGAAAAAGGAAAAGTCAAAGATCGCGAATTTTTGCGCGCAATACATCACTTGGTTTGACTTTGACATATGAGAAAGTTTGTTTAGCTACAGCTACTTGTAATAAAAATAAATCTTTATATATAAAAAGCGTGTTCACACCATAGAATAAGAAAAGAAATTGTATGTTACTTGGTTATTTATACTAATAAATTTAACTCGTAGATCTACACGTAATCATAAATACATATGTGTTTATGTGTATTTAGGCCCCGTTTGGTTGCCAAGATAAGCTATGATTAACTAAATAGTTGGATTTAATTTCATATTTGGTATCCTTAATAAATTGCCGGGTCGACCCGCCGAAATTATATAATCATGGCTTATCTTGACTTATTTTCCCTTCTAATGAGATTTTTTTGTTGGACGGTTTCAAACTCCAATAAAATAATTGAGTCTCATTAGGCCCCGTTTGGTTGGCAGGATAAGATTAGCCAAAGTAAGATTAAATAATCTAATGAGACTTAATTATTTTATTCGAGCTTGAAACGTCCAATAAAAAAAACTCATTAGAAGGCAAGATAAGCCATGATTATATAATTTTGGCGCGTCGACACCCGGCAATTTATTAAGAATACCAAACATCAAATTAAGTCCGACTATTTAGTTAATCATGGCTTATCTTGACAACCAAAGAGGGTCTTAGATTAATTAATCTTACCTTGGCTAATTTTATCTTGCCAACCAAATGGGGTCTTAGTGGGTAGTTATTTAATCAAATTTACGATTCAAATCCACCAGATGTAAATAACCAGATATAGGCTCAAACTCTCCAATAATAATAATATTTAGTTTTTGTTTTTGAATTCACCATTAACCGAGCAGACACCATTTGGAGTCGGCACATAGACCGGAAACCTACTCCAATTTATTTACTTTATCAAAATAACCCCATTTTATTTACACTATTTAATATCAATTGGATTTTAAATAAAATCCAACCCCCAAAAAAAAAAATTTGCCCCCTCCTATTGACTTAGCATGAGTTTGACCGTTTCATGTTAAATATCTCAATCTTTTATAAGTGACACCAACTACGATTATATTACACTATAACAAGTTTTTTTAGTACAAGGAGCTGACTTTGAACAAAAAATGCGTTCACATCTTTATGTATTCCAAAAATATAGCTTGCATTTTTATATTTGTAAATTTTCATTAAAACGTACACATAAAATGCTACTCCCCTCCCTTAATATTTGTAATTTTTACCATTTTTTTATATTTTAAATTATTTGTCATTTTACTATTTCAATAAATAATTAATTGCAATCTTTTCAATTCGCCATTTCTCACTCATAATTAATTGAAATAAAATTATTTAAAAATCAATTAATGGCATGTTGATACGCGTAAAACCTATGTATAAATTACCGCAAGTGTACATTATCGCGTTTTGTAGAATAGTGAATTCCAGATATCGATCCACAGGGAATTAAGTTCCTAAATTTACCAAGTACCGTAATTATACTATCCTAAACTTTATCTAGACGATCAAGAATGAATGGGAGAAATGAAACCAAAAGGAAACAATAATAAAAACAACGGTCCGCCAGTAAAGCGAGGAATTCCGACGTGTGATGGCTTCTAGTGTAAAATCCACTAGTGTACTATTGATAAAGATCTACAAATACGAATCTATTGTCAATTTATATTTGCTAACCCAGACACTAAAATACTCTAACCCCCGTCTCCAGTGTAGTTAGAGTCTACCCACAGGTCCGACGTCTCCGTTCAGTAGGGGTGGGCATTCGGGTCGGGTTATTCGGGTATAACCCGACCCGGTCGGGTATTACCCGACCGGATCGGGTAATTTTTGACGTAACCGGGTTTTTCCCGGGTTCGGGTACCCGGTGCTCCCAAACCGGGTCGGGTCCGGGTATTAGAAATCCTACCCGGGTACCCGACCGGGTACCCGGTTGAATTTTTTTTTTTTTTTTTTTTTTTATATATATATATATATATATATATATATATATATATATAATAGTAACCAGTCCGCCGCCGCTACAGTACCATATAATATAATTAATATATTATTCATTACAATTTAAATTATGCAGTGGAATCATATTTTAATGAAAGAACAAGAAGTGGGATTTGCTGTAGTTAATTAGGGGGTCGGGATGTGTGTATTAGTGCGTGTCACTGTAGAGATATATACATACACACTTTTATATATATACATACATACAGCAAGTTGTTTCTGGTTATTATATATAATTTCTTGAAGTTGTAAAGATTCACATCTGTCATATGCAGTACACCTTTACTTAATTCTGTGTCCTCTTCTTCCACTAAGAAATATATATTAAGTATATATATATATATATATATATATATATATATATATATATATATATATATATATATGTATATCTTAAATAAATTTAGTTAATGTTTATTTTACACAAAAAAAAAAAAAAAAACAAAAAAAAAAAAAAAAGGGGGGAAAATAGCAAAACCCGAACCCGACCCGAGATAACCGGGTACCCGGTTGCCGGGTACCCCGTTATCTCGGGTCGGGTTCGGGTAATTTTTTTTTTGCAAAAAACCCGAATAACCCGACCCGAATAACCCGAATAACCCGACCCGACCCGAATGCCCACCCCTACCGTTCAGGTTTAAGAGAACATTTAGGTCAAGTCCTTAAGGGCTACCCGAGGTGCATCATGTCTCCGTTTCCACAACCCGAGCTATGTTTTCCTAAATTCAAATGGAAAATCCTCTCTCGAGTTCATTCCCATTTACAATCAATTCAACTGTTGGCCAAACAATCGAAAGCATTCAATACAGGAAAACATAAACATAATCAAAGAATGACAAATAGAACACATATCTGGAAATCAAAATCAATATATACAAGGTTTCATTTTCCTAGAAGAAAATGCTCAGTTCATTACAAACATAACATTAAAATGAAGAACACGAGATATTATAAACTAAACGTAAAGAAAAGCTATGAAAAACCCTCGTCGAAACCCTCGTCGAAACTTCCCGCGAAAAACTGGCGAAAAGCGAAGAAGAAGTCTTGATATTTTCTTGATCTTTAAAAATGAAGAAGATGCCTTCAATTAATAGTAAGAAATTAAAGAAAAATATATCGTCTCGAATTATGTGCCCAGATCGCGATCTGGGCTACTTGGATCGCGATCTGGCAGCCTTGGAAACTGCGCACCGCCTTTCCATATCGCGATACGGGAATGGTGGATCGCGATCTGGTTCTTGATCAAAAAATGTTCTGTGAGACCTCCCAGATCGCGATCCAGGAAGGTTGGATCGCGATCTGGGTCCTGATCAAGAAAACCTTCTGTAAGACTCGCCAGATTGCGATACAGGAAGGTTAGATCGCGATCTGGTCTTATGCGCCTACTTCAAACACTATTTTGACCATTTTTTAGACCGAATTTGACAATTTTTCGTTTCACAAAAGTTGTAGATCTTGAAGTTATCTTTATAATACCACTTGAATCAACTCAATCGGAAGTCGTATGCAAACGTTATGCTTGAAATACAAATAAAGTCGAAAACTCGGACGAACGAAGACCAAAACTTGAAGAATTGATAAGTGAAAATGATGCAAAATGAACAATTATCACACCCTCAAACTTAGATATTTACTGGTCCCGAGTAAATCAAAACGAAACAACAACAAAAAGAAATTAAAAACAACAAACTAAAACTAGACCACTAACGTAGGGAATCACGATTGCATTAAGCGTATGCAACAAGCCGTTGAACCCTTGGGTACCCCCCAACGGACGAGTTGTGTCTCGTGAGGGTTTTCAGACAACACACCCACGAAGTTGCCGGATTGGTCAAAGCATTGCAATTAATTCCAAAGATAAAACGAGCTAGATAACCTAAAATCTCAGAATGGCATACGGCTTAAGGTATTCGACTTTCCCACCGACGCAATTAGTTGTTTCTACACCAAAATGAAAGATAGACTCAAGAATTATCCGTAATTAAACAATAAACACAATCATCGAGGGTTTTGAGTAGAAATGTAGGTGAAAAGTAAGTTTTGATTTTGAAATTCAAAAACTCGAGTTGGGCATAAGTAGGTCTATTTATTCAATAGAAAAAATGACAACAACAATATTTTTGGTGATTTTCATCTCAACTTTTTCTCTTTCCATTTTTTTTAAACGGGGATAACCGTGACTCGTGCAAGGCTCGATACCACTATGTTATGTCTCTGACCCATGTATCGAACTTTAGTCCAAGAAACCCCCAAGCTTGACGGCTCGAGAGACTAGGCGACGAGGTGCACCCAACGGGTTAAGCTCGAGTCAGAAAGGCTGGGAAATCAGAGCGTGAATCACAACAATACCATATATTTATTTGTTTTTATCTTTTTTTTTTGGAACACAATAACATAAAATAAAAACGAAAAGACCATTGGTTGAACTTTTTGCCAACAACTCGAATTGTGAACAAATAATTCAATTCTAACTCGCCCCCCAAACCTCAGACTATTATACCCCTCAGAAAAGTGCGCTCAAGCTTAATCGGAAAGCATTCGAAAGGCTATCCACACAAGTTGCAAAGACGCAGTCGGAAGGTTCATCTATTATTAACCGGTTATGCACAATTTCAATTTTAAAATCAACTAGCTAGTCTACTAATTCATGAATTGCTTTGCTTCAATAAATTCCGGAAATGCAACTTACACTCGATCTTAAATGAGATGCATGTGACAAACATAACACAATTACGGAAATCGAAATAGATAAACGAAACTAAATTATATGATATGCACGCAAAAGACCAAATCAAAATAAGCTAAACTCACCCCAAACTTAAATCATGCATTGCCTCAATGCGAAAAATAAAATATATGAGAAATAAATACGCCCTGAACAGTCGTGCAGCAGATTGATCAGTGTTATACGGTTGCGAAAGTGTTCTTTGGTTGCACGGGGTGCCGTGAATTTCGGCACCGAGGGCGTATTGCCGGAATTGTCTAGACTTCCCGACTTCTTACTCTTCTTTCGTTGGGGACGAGATACCGGCAAAAATCAAGAAAAATTGGTGAAATTAAACTTTAAACAAAAAAATGCAAAAATAAAAGAAAACTAACAAAATAAATGACGAAAAATAAATAATGGGTTGCCTCCCATTCAGTGCCTGTTTTACAGTCGACGACTCGACACAATTTGGACGGATTATGTCCAATCCAAAACCTTGTAGATTGCGCATCCATCCATCAATCTTAATACATACTTTGCAATCATATCATGGAAAATATTTCAATCACGTAGTGCCCATCCTATCACATGGAACATTTTGTTTGCTTGGGAAATCAGTCCGTAGGAGACTATGATGGGTTGCTTTCCTACCGATCTCTCAAACTTGTACAGAAGATATTCGAGCTTTGGAGTAAGCTCTACCTCAAATTTGAAACTCGTCTTCTCTCTCACACTAAAATACGGAGTTACGATGTGGATATGATTTTCTTCGTCAAATTCCGCATCTACCATCATCTTCATCCCATTCTCTTCACACGCAAAAGTATCTAAAGAACTGGGATGAATAATCCCCTCAAGGTTCTCAGCCTCGTCGTTCATACGAAAATCTGTAAGTACCTCGTTCTCTTCATATTGGATGGTTGGATGTGGTTCGGGATTGTGACATCTCTGAAAATTTTCCCAAGTATTTGCCAGAAAGTGGAGTTCGTCTTGTAAATAGCACAAATGTTCACTTGTGTGTCCAATTCCATTTTTTGGGTTCAACCTTCGATGTCTTTCAATATCCTCCAATTCTTGTTGAATGTAATATGCTCTGGATTGAATCTCTTTGAGAGATATCATAAATCGAGGCCATCAATGTACACAAGTCTGTTAAAGTAAATGGAAAAAAAAAATCAAAATAAAAGAAAAATGTCTAAAGTAAAGAAAGGATAGTTGGTAACGATACTAGTAAATTCAAGATTAACTAATTCCCCGGCAACGGCGCCAAAAACTTGATACGCGTAAAACCTACGTATAGTGTACAGTATCGCGTTTTGTAGAATATGTTCCTAAATTTACCAAGTACCGTAATTATACTGTCATAAACTTTATTTAGACATACGAACGAATGGGAGAAATGAAACAAAAAAGAAACAATAAATAATAAAAACAACGGTCCGTCAGTAAAAGTGAGGAATTCCAACGTGTGATAGCTTCTAGGGTGAAATCCACGAGTGTACTATCGATATAGATCTACAAATCCGAATCTAATGTCAATTCTATATTCGCTAACCCATACACTAAAATACCCTAACCCCTGTCTCCAATGTAGTTAGAGTCTACCCATAGGTCCGACGTCTCCGTTCAGAACCTGATATTAAGAGCGCATTTAGGTCAAGTCCTTGAGGGCTACCCAAGGTGCATCACGTCTCCGTTTCCACAACCCGAGCTATGTTTTCCTAAAATCAAATGGAAAATCCTATCTCGAGTTCATTCCCATTTACAATCAATTCAACTGTTGGTCAAACAATCGAAAGCATTTAATACAGGAAAACATAAACATAATCAAAGAATGACAAATAGATCACATATCTGGAAATCAAAATCAATAAATACAAGGTTTCTTTCCCTACAAGAAAATGCTCAGTTCATTACAAACATAGCATCGAAATGAAGAACACGAGAAATTATAAACTAACGTAAAGAAAAGCTTATGAAAAACCCGAGTCAAAACCCTCATCAAAAACTTCCCGCGAAAAACTGGCGAAAACCGAAGAAGAAGTCTTGATATAGGTCTTGACATTTTCGAGATCTTTAAAAAAATTGAAGAAGAGGCCTTCTATTTATAGTAAGAAATCAAAGAAAAATATCTCGTCTCGAATTCTATGCCCCGATCGCGATCTGGCCTTCTTGGATCTCGATCTGGCAGCTTTGAAAATTGTGCACCGCCTTTCCAAATCGCGATACGGGAATAGTGGATCGCGATCTAGTTCTTGATAAAAAAATGTTCTACGAGACCCCCCAAATCGCGATCCAGGAAGACTGGATCGTGATCTGGATCCTGCTCAAGAAAACCTTCTGTAAGACCCGCCAGATCGCGATACAGGAAGGCTGGATCGCGATCTGGTCTTCTGCGCCAACTTCAAACACTATTTTGACCCTTTTTTTAGACCGAATTTGACAATTTATCATTTCACAAAAGTTGTAGATCGTGAAGTTATCTTTCTAAGACCACCTGAATCAGCTCAATCGAAAGTCGTATGCTAAAGTTATGCTTGAAATACGAAACAGTGCCACAACCCGCAATAATGCAGTTTTGCACGTGTTTTGTTTGATTTTCGGCTTCGCTTCCAAAATCGTTTCAAAACGGCAAAAACAGCTTCTCTTTACCTAAAATATAAATAAAACAAAAACAACATAATATATACAAATAAAGCCGAAAACTCGGACAAACGAAGACCAAAACTCGAAGAATTGATAAGTGAAAATCATGCAAAATGAACACTTATCATATGTGCATTTTAGTAATTTACTATACTTTTTGTTACTATATATGCATATTTATTGAATTTCTTAATACGTGTGCAACTAACAAAAGTGACAACTATTAAGGGTAGGAGGAAGTATCATATTTCAAACATGAAATAGTATTGTCAATTATTTTAAGGTTTTCGAAAATCATGGGTAATGATTGGTTCGGTTTTCATCTCATTTTTATTCTTTCTCAAAAATGAATTTATATATGTTTGTTTGTTAAGATTTTCAAAACAAATTCTCATAACAATTTCAAAATTTTAATTTTCATCAAACATGATTCGACCGCTACAGTAAAAAGATTTGTCTACTACGATAAAAACATATTTTCACTAAAAACCAAGGTTGTAAAAATCGGTAATCGGGTCCGAGTCGGTTAGGCACCGACTCACGATTAATCGGTGCGGCGGTGATTAATCGGTGATAAATTGGAAATAAATCGGTTTTTAAAATTTAATATAATATATTTCTAAATATTACTTATAAATACTCCAAACATATGTAAAAAGATATTTAAAGATAGTTATATCTACATCATGTATATATCCTAATAACATAATAAAAGTTTAATAATCATAAGATCATAATACATAAATACCCTTATAAAATATAAATAAAAAAACATTTTTTTTTGAATTAACATTTATTCTTGAACATTCGTGGCATACATCATTAGTTCTTTAACAATAACAATTAACATAAACAAAATAAGGCATAAACTCATATTTTCTTTTATTAAAATCCAACTTTTATATTGAATTATAAAATAATAAAATAAAAAAAAAATAAAAAAAAAAACCGATTTTTAACCGATTTTTGACCGATTTTTTGCCTCCGAGTTTGACCCGCCTTAAAGGTTTGACCGCCTCGGACCGACTCAGACCGCCTAAAACCGCCTCACAGGCAAAAAACCAATTTTTCAAACCTTTTGCACTAAAATCGTAAAGGTTTTGGACCGCCTCGACCGATTTTTAGAACACTGCTAAAAACCAAACAAATAATACTTTATTTTCTCAAATTATTCTTTTAAAATATATTTTTTCAACATATTTAATTATGACTTGACCGCCAGAGCGCCGCCACCGCCGTTGGGTGGTGGTGCCGCCCGCCCGCCACCACTGACCCACCATTCCTACCGACCGCAGGGAGGCGCGACAGACCCTCTTTTGCCAAAATTTCTAGCAACTTGGGCAAAGTTGCTAGCACCTTGGCCTAGCACCCTTCTTGGACACCTCTTTAATTATACACAATGGACAAATATAATAGCACTAAATTAATGAGTCATATCGATCTCTTATGTGTATTAGTGAATAAATTTCATTTTATGGATCTCTTTTTGAGATAAATTTTTCCCTTTCCAGATTTTTCATCTCAAATTATATTACCAACTTGAACAACTTTTTTCTGATTCTAAACTCACCTTGCTATATGGTGAACCCTGAAAACTTCAACGGAAAACGAAATGCTTATTCCTGTCTGTGATATAACAATAGTAATGGAATGGCAAGAAATGCGGTTCTCTGCACCAATAAACTCTTACTCAGCATCCCTTCATCTTCACCATTTGCAAAGCTGTTGGATTCCTGCAACAAATCCAAGCTCTCCCCCGACGTCCGTGCCGTTCACGCCTGCATTGTCAAATCCCCGTTCAGTTACGAAGTCTTTATCAACAACAGGCTCATCGATGTTTACGGAAAATGCGGCTACTTTAACTCCGCCCGCATCTTGTTCGACAAAATGCCCACAAGAAACGCCTTTACTTATAACTCGATTATTGGTGCATTAACGATATCGGGTTCGGTCGATGAAGCCGAGAGGGTGTTCGCTTCAATGCCGGAACCTGATCAGTGCTCGTGGAATTTAATGGTCTCTGGGTTTTCCCAGCTAGAGATATTTGACAGGTCGTTGGAGTATTTAGTGAAAATGCATGGAGATGATTTTATGTTGAATGAGTTTAGTTATGGGAGTGCGCTTAGTGCTTGTGCTGGATTGAGAGACTCGGTAATGGGTACCCAAATCCATGCTTCGTTGGCCAAGTCGAGATTCATTGCCGATGTTTATATGGGGTCTGCACTTGTTGATATGTATGCAAAGTGTGGTGATGTGGATAGTTCTCAAAAGGTGTTCGACGGAATGACTGAACGAAACACTGTATCTTGGAATAGTATGATTACTTGTTACGAACAAAACGGGCCAGCAAGCGAAGCGCTTCAGATTTTTGTTAGAATGATGGAATGTGGAGTTGAGCCAGACGAGATGACCGTAGCTAGTGTGATCAGTGCTTGTGCAAGCTTGTGCGCAGTTATACAAGGTCGTGAAATTCATGCGCGAGTAGTGAAATTCAACAAGTTACGCAGTGATCTCGTTATTTCGAATGCACTAGTTGATATGTATGCCAAGTGCAATATGATAAACGAAGCCAGGTGGCTTTTCGATAGGATGCCGATAAAAAACGTGGTATCCGAGACATCTATCGTAAGTGGTTACGCCAAAGCTGCAAGTGTGAAGACCGCAAGAACTATGTTCTCGAAAATGATTGATAGAAATATTGTATCTTGGAATGCGCTTATTGCTGGATATACACAAAATGGGGAAAACGAAGAGGCACTAGCCCTCTTTCTCCTCTTGAAAAGGGAACCCGTTTGGCCCACTCACTACACATTTGGCAACCTTCTCAATGCATGTGCGAATCTTGCGGATTTGAAGCTCGGTAGACAAGCACATACACATGTCTTAAAGCAGGGATTCCGATTCCAGCATGGATTTGAGCCCGATATTTTCGTGGGCAACTCTCTTATAGACATGTACATGAAATGTGCGTCGGTCGAAGACGGGAACAGGGTGTTCAGAAAAATGGTCGAAAGAGATGGTGTTTCGTACAATGCCATGATAGTGGGGTACGCGCAGAACGGACAAGGCAATGAAGCCCTTGCATTGTTTAAGGAAATGTTGGCTGTGTCTGAAATGAAACCGGACCACGTGACTATGATTGGTGTTCTTTGTGCATGCAGCCACGTAGGATTGGTTGAAGAAGGGTGTCAATATTTCGATTCGATGAGCAGAGAGTTTGGTCTGGAACCACTAAAAGACCACTACACGTGTATGGTTGATTTACTAGGTCGAGCTGGCCGGCTTATTGAAGCGAAAAATACGATTCTTTCAATGCCGATGAATCCCGATAGTGTTGTGTGGGGGTCTTTGCTTTCTGCTTGTAAACTCCATCGAGATATTGAAATGGGCAGTTTTGTAGCGGACAAATTATTGGAGATTGATCCTGAAAATTCGGGGCCTTATGTACTTTTATCGAACATGTATGCTGAGCTTGGGAGATGGAGAGATGTGACGAGGGTTCGGAAACTTATGAGGAAGAACGGTGTTGTGAAACAGCCTGGTTGTAGTTGGATTGAAATAAGTAGCCGAACGCATGTTTTTATGGTGAAAGACACGAGGCATTCGAAGAAGAAGGAAATATATTCATTACTGAAAGGACTTAGTAAGGTGATGAAGCTTTCTGGATATGTGCCGAATATTGCTGATTTTGATGCGGATGAGGAACAGAACAAGGGTGGTGAGTTCACTTTGGTAGAAGAGTTGGAAGTGCCTTTAGCTGTTTCAAGTTGATTATAGGTACTATGTGCTGGCACTTCATTGTCCATAGGTCATTTAAATTAACATTGTAGGTACTCGTAAGCCCTCGTTTAATACGGTTGATTGGTCTTGATATATTATTACGAATAGTCCGACTACTTATGCAATGATTTATTTGATAGTAGATCAAGCTTGGTGGTGGGATTAGACATGCCCACGGGCCCATTCGACCCGTGAACTGATGGGAACCGGCCCGTTTCAAAACGTTTGTGATGCTGAATTGGACTTCCGCTAGATTCTACAATCGGATATTTTGGAAAAAAATAAGTAGAACTTTTTTTTTCATATCGAACTTGAAGTGCATGCTATTTTTACTTAATATGCATAAGGCGATGGCATAGTAATCCCGTCATTCTTATTAAATGGGGCTCTATTCATTTTTCTTGTCGGAATTTTCGCGTACATTTGAACTTGGGCATTTCAATATTTATCGTACTTGATAGCAAATGTTGCTTTCTTCTAGCTTACATACAAATGAAGAAAAAACTGTTAGTAAACATCTTGTATGGCCTAGTGGTTAGTAGTTTCAAAATTCAATTAAAAGACCCTGGTTTCGTAGGTGGTAAGTTGGTACAAGAAAAACCTGTTAGTAATCCGTTTATAAAATTATGGGAATTTCTTTATTTCATTATTTTATTATTTATATGTTTTGAGAACATATATCATATTTCGGAATTCAAATAAGAGAAATCCGGAAAAATATTTGAAGATTTATATTAGAAAAGTAACCGATAAACGAAAAGCACATGCATATCTTACAAGGGTTTATGTTTTAATTCATAGAGGCATATATATATATATATATATATATATATATATATATATATATATATATATATATATATATATATATATATATATATATATGCCAACGAACGAGACAGCCCTTTGTACAACAATCTATCTGGCATCATCACGGATTCCAATTTTCCACCATGCAATCTTTATTACACATTTGCATGTGAACTACTGCCCAAGTGTGTGTGTCTATGTGTATTTTATATATACATACATATTTAATTTATTTTAAATTATTTTTGCCACATATTATTCCTCAAACAATTTTTACATCCTCAACGTGTGTCCTAACCTAAGCACCACGTTTCACCAAAACATTTCATCGTAATCTCCAAAGCAATGTTGATCTTGAAATTTCGGTGATTCTAATTTTCAATTTTATTTTTGTACAAAAAAGTGACCCTTATCTTATTCTAGAGTATTCTTTAATACATAAATATATCGATGTAAAAAATAAAAATGGGTTTATTTATTCTAATTACTGAAAGATATCTTGTATTTGTTAGCATTAGCAATCACAATCGATAGTCATATTTTTTTAGCAACTGCTCCTTAATATCAAGGTTGTAAAAAGCGGTAATCGCGTCCGAGTCGGTCAGACACCGACTCACGATTAATCGGTGCGGCGGTAATTAATCGGTGATAAATCGAAAATAAATCGGTTTTTTAAATTTAATATAATATATTTCAAAATATTATTTATAAATACTCCAAACATATATAAAAAGATATTTAAACATAGTTATATCTCCATTATGTATATATCCTAATAACATAATAAAAGTTTAATAATCATAAGATCATAATACATAAATATTCTTATAAAATATAAATAAAAAAATAATTTTTTTGAATTTACATTTATTCTTGAACATTCCTGGCATACATCATTAATTCTTTAACAATAACAATTAACATAAACAATAAGGCATAAACTCATATTTTCTTTTATTAAAATTCAACCTTTATTTTGAATTATATATATAAAAAAAAAAAAAAAAACCGATTTTTTACCGATTGTTGACCGATTTTTGCCACCGAGTTTGATCGCCTTAAAGGTTTGACCGCCTCAGACCGCCTAAAACCGCCTCACAGGCAAAAAATCGATTTTTCAAACCTTTACACTAAAAACGTAAAGGTTTTGGACCGCCTCCGCCTCGGAAACCGATTAATCGTCCGCCTCGGCCGATTTTTAGAACACTGCTTAATATACATTGTTATCTATGCAGCACGCATATGGAAACGGCAATATGGAGAAATGGAAAAGGACATGGGGAAACATGAAAATATTATAAGTATAAGAGTATATTTATAATATGTTATATAATGTACATATATATAATTTTTTTTAATATATTTTCATACAAACATTTTCAAAAGATATATTACTATTGATTATCAATTTACAATTGATCATTAAATAATGTAAATAATTAGGGAATCAACAAAAATATGTAGAAATTCGCTATTCAAACATGTTTCTAACTGTTTAGAAATTACAAAATAATAAATAATTTGTCTGGTGAGTGTCCTTGAATGTCGAACACGAAACATATCCAAACTACGGATACATTAAAAAGTTAAAATTTACGTGCTACATCGATTGTTATGTTCTGAAAATTTGTAATGCTAAGTGGTTGCTTTCAGGTCAAAAAGAAAAAAATAAGTAAGGTTGTATGCTATAAAAAGATGAATCGTGGGATGTTTTTAACTAATGCTAATAACAAGATTTTTTAAACAAATCGGTACAATAGGAAAGTACAGAATGAAATAACTAACAAAAAATAAATGGAGGTTAGATGCTACACTTGATTATTTACATTTGGTGGATTTGAATGGTAAATTTAATTAAATAATTATTCACTAAGCACACATACATATTGTATGTGTGTGATTGTGTGTATATCTACACTTCAAATCCAACTAATGTAAATAACCGGATGTAAGATCTAATTCTAAAAAATAAGTGGTCCTAATAAATTCGATGACTCAAATTAGGACACATACGTGGCAAGTCCTCAGAGCCAATATTGAACTTAACAAGCCACCATGGAAAGGTTTTCTTGCCACGTGGATAGAATCAAATTTCAGCAGGATAAATACAATATAATGTTATTATTTAATCACATTCGTTTATCGATAAAATTCTCCTAATCCTCCAAAAGGCAAAAAACACACACACCCCCCTACTCAGAAACACATGGATAAATAAATCAATAAAATAAAAATAAACAATGAAAATCATATTTTTACACCCTGGAATTTTTTATTCTAACTGATCAGAATTCAGAACCCGTGATCTCAATTCTTTGAAAGAGTACACCACCAAATTTATAAACTCCAATTTTTAATCATAACAAAAAAAAAAAGTAATTTAATTTTCTTTCTATTGATCAAAAAAACGTAAAAATTCATACATACACTGCTTACAAGTAGTTAGAACATCCATCACAAGAAAAAAAAAAACAGAAAAAATGGACAGAGATTTAAGAGAAGTTATTAAAAAAAAAAAAAAAAAAAAACCAAATGTTTCAGAAGAAGAGAAAACCTTTGATCCCAGATTGAGAGCATTTACACCTGAGAATAACGTACGAAACAAACCTGTAAACAAGAATAAACCCAACCATAATCACATAATTCCTCCACCTACTCTCTTCATCGCCGTACCCTTCTTCTCTCAGCACATCTTCACCACTCACCACGCACGTGCCGAACATGTAGTCCAAGCACTTCTTCGACCCCGAAAACTCGTTTATCAGCAGCCCTTCGAACGGATACTTGAACAGCGAAATGTAGTGCATGAAAACCCAATACTTTGGTATCCCGTTCTTCGACACGAAATACCCCGAAAACAAGAAGAACGACCCCATCACCGCGGAGATCACCGAGTTCCCGATTATGAAATTCGGCACCAGCGCGCTGAAACAGACCACCACGGAATTCGCCGTGTACAGGATCAGCCAGATCAGCGCCAGAAAGTGCGCGAACGCCGTGAAGCTTCCGTTCAATCCCACCAGCCAGTATACGGGGACGGAGAATAGTATTGCTAGTATGAGTAGAAAGGGTAAGTAGACGAGGCCGTTGGCTATGGCGTACGACGAAACCCTGTAGCTTCCGCTGGAAGTTTCTTTCATTAGTATTTCCTTTTCTTGTAAGAAGATCGGGAGCGCTTCGGTTGTGCTCGAGAGGAGGAATGTGAGTATGAACGCGAATAACCCGACGCGTTCTTCCGCTCCGATTAGGTTGTCTTTGAGATTGTAGAAAATTGACCCCAAAACGACGCCGGATAGTAGCATGGAGATTGTCCTGCATGCGAAGAGCTCCTTCGTCCTGTAAATGTTCTTCCCGAATCTATGCGTGAGGATCATTGTCTCGAAGAATCTTGAATTCGCGTAGCCACGTGGCACGTCGATTCCAACGTCGAATGGCAAGGATTCCTCGTCGATTACTTTCGACTGCTGGAATAGTTGCTGGAGGGTGAACCGGCCGGTTCGGGTCGTGCCTTCGACTGCTGGTGGTGGTGGTGTGATTTTGTTCGATGGCATTGTTGTGATTTGGTGGTGGTGGTTCATTGTTTCGATGGATTCGATGGCGAATTCGACGGGGTTGACGTGGAGGGGGAGGTGGAGGCCCATGAGCATGAGGTTGACGGTGAGGAGTTCGATCGAGCCGTGGTGGAGTACGACGCCGTTTGCGAGGAGGAGGACGGAGTTGAACTGCTTCACGATTCTGAACCCGGGCTGGTGGATGCTGAGCACGACGGTCCTGCCACGTGTCTCCGCCATGGATTTCAGCATGTCGACGATCTGGAGGGCGGAGCTGCTGTCCAGGCCGGAGGTGGGCTCGTCGAGGATCAGGATCTTCGGGTCGTGGATGGCCTCCACGCCGATGGAGACGCGGCGGCGCTCCCCGCCGGAGATTCCGCGGACCCGGTCGTCGCCGACGCGGACGGCGGCGACGTGGCTGAGGCCGAGCTCGTACATCAGGGACTTGACCCGGGACGAGAGGTCCGGCTCCGGGAGGTTGAGGCGGAGCTTGGCGCTGAACTTGAGGGTCTCCTCGACGGTGAGGAGGGGGAAGAGGGTGTCCTTCTGGGTGACGTAGCCGGAGAGTTTCTTGAACCGGGGTTTGTCGAGCGGCTTCTGGTTGACGTAGACGGAGGCGGATTGCGGGGTGAGTTTTCCGGCGAGGATTTCGAGGAGTGAGGATTTTCCGGCGCCGCTTGGGCCGACAATGGCGAGGATTTCGAAGGGCTTCGCCGTGAGGCTGACATCCCTGAGCACCTGCCGGGCCTGGGGTTTACCGGCGGCGGCGGCGGCGGCACCGCCTTTGGGATTAATGTTTTTGTGGGGGGTGGTGTAGATTGTGTAGTTGATGCCGAATGCTTCAATCTCACAGCCTTGTTTCTTCATTGAAGAAACTCTCTCTCAGATTAAAGAAAAGCTCTGTCTCTGTGTGTGTGTGTGTGTGTGTTGTGTGGTTTGGTTTTGAAGGCTTTGGTCTGGGATTCTTGGTGTTGTACTATACAAAAAATTTAATACTTTGGAGTATTTATTTTTATTTTTGGTTCACTATTTTATTAATTAATTAATAGTGAATGATATGTTTTGTAGTAGTAACAGTTTTGAGGATTGGGGAGAGAGATCATTTGTGCTGGATGATCAGTTAGATCAAAATTAATTAATGACGACCCCTTTATTTTTGTTTTATACTTCACGTGCACTTATGTGACCTTGCCATAATACTTAAACTCGCGATATATATATTGCGAGACGGTACGGTCTCGATCAAAACGATACAACTCATAATATGTATCAGCTATGCATAAATACCGTTAAATATCGCAAGATATCGTATCGTATCGCCATATCACGATACGATACGATATTTACGATATTAGTCAAAATATTTAAAAAAAATTAAAAAATATATTACATTTATGAGCAGTTATGACTTCTATCCTATTTTATAATATATTTTATAATATATTTTATGATAGATTATTTTTTTTAAGAAATTAAGAATAAGTAATTTGACTTTAAAATATTACATTTTATATTTTTATAATATTTTTATTATGTAGATATATATATATATATATTATTATTTTTAATAGTTTGTTAAATATCGTACGATACGATACGATAACGATACGATACGATACACGGAGAAAAACGATACGCCGATATTTTTGGGATTCGATAACAATCACCTTGCATACTTGCATTTAGGTAGGAGATTGGGTTGGGTCCGTCGATCAGCTTAAAAACTGACTCATGTGATATACCAAATTTACTCAATTTTACTTTAAAAAAAATCAAAATTTGAGGTAAAAGTATGCACATTATGCCTAGTGTCATCCTCCATGATCGTTTGTCAGTTCAAAATAGTTAATAACAATTCAAAAAATATATAATTCCAAAATTCTAGTGGAAGATTTGTGTTAACTTTTTTTCCTTGTTGTTTTTTAGTTTAATTTAAAATGCTAACTATTTAGGTAATTTCAATACGTACTTAAAAAACAACATCCTTTATTTTATGTTTTTTTTAATAAAATTTTACTACCATAGTCGGTTAACCGATTTTAGATAATATTAGAAATCGTCAACCGATCCATTACAGATGGATTGGTGAAAATTTCCGACTTAATCCAATGGATCGATTAAAAATTTATTATCCGTCTAAAAATATAATCGGTAACGGGTCGGCTGCCGAGTAAAAAACACCCCAGTCCTAGCCCAAAAAATATATATATATGATCATATATATAATCATTGAATATATGAACACATCACATGATGGATGATATATATGAGGTTTTCCATCTGCATCTCTTGCCTAGTTAGTACTTAGTAGTTACCCCACCCCATTATTTGGGACAATTCTTTTACCACCCCTTTACTTTCTAGACTAGCCTATTATTATGGCTTTCAATTTTTGCCACAAAAATATAGAGCTTTCAAGTTTTGTATAAATATATAGTATACTTTAGGGGTGTTCGTCCGGTCGCTAAATCGATCGAACCGAACTGAAAATAAAGTACGTGCTGAAATTCCAGTATTCGATTTTTTGGTTTTACTGAATACCGAAATATTTTAGTATTTAAACTAAAGTCTATTATTTTTATACTACAATCTATTAGAAAAATTAAAAAAAAAATCAATTTTTAAATATTTTTAATAAAATTTCGGTAATTCGAGTTTTTACCAAACCGAACAACATATTTCGATTCAGTAAACAATATGAAATTTTAGTGTCCTTCGAAAAGCACAATAATAGCTCCAAGAAATACAATAATAATCCAACAAGAACATAAAATTCTAAGTCCAATTCGCGGAATTGATCAAATTCGACTTTTTTGTTAAAAGCTTTTAGAATTTCAAAATTTACTATAAAAAAAAAAATCGTGTTTCAATTAGGTCTGAACAACATAGAATTGCAAAAGTCTTTTGAAAAAATAAAATCAAACCCTTTTATAAATTGGGGTAAGTAGGAGAGTAGTATGATTTAAACCCTAGACATCTACATCTACTCTAATAGTAGATGCTAGGTATCAGTCCTCCAAATGAGCGTTGGTTAACTTGATTTGCATTAGCTATTACGGATGGAATCAAAGGCAATGTTGTCACAGTATATTTAGGTATCGTTTGCCGTCAAGATAATTAAATTAAATAATCTAATGAAACTAATTAATTATACATTGGACCATGGAAGGTAGAAGAAAGAAAACTCCTTAAAAGTGGCCCGCATGGGTGTAGCTCAACTGGTTCCGGAGGTGGTAAGTTGGAGCAAGGTCCTAGGATCGAATCCTGGCAGCCGCAGTGTGGGAATTTCAACTCCAATGAGATTGGTTCCTTGTGGGCACCAGGTCCGGGTCCGCTACCTTAACGGGCCGTTGAGTTACCATGATTTACATTCCTCCATCAATCCTTGTCGGGCCAAGGGATGGGGGCCCTGGGGGCGAGGAATTTCGCCTTTGGAGCAAGAAAACTCCTTAAAAGTCAAGATACGCTATGGTAAAATAATATTTTCAGATCGACCCGAAAAGTTATTACAATTTCTTAAAGAGGCTAGTCAGTGGACTTTTAATTAGCAAATAATTTAAAAAGGGGGACTTTAACTGAAACCTAAAATGAGTACGTCCTTATTAGCAATATTATTTTTTTGCAATTCTTTGTTGTCTATGCCCTAAAAAATACATTTTTTTTTTATATTCCTGGTAATTCTTAAAATCATATTAATTATTGATAGTGAATAACTAAAATTAGATTTCAGTTCCGCAAATTGGATTTTACTTCGAATTTTAAGGTCTACTGGGATTATACTTTAACTACATATGGCAATTTTTAGTATTTTTTCAATCATTTCCATTTTAATAAGAACTTGCAATTTTTTTGTTATTAATTTTTTTAATTAAACAATGAACATATCGAATTGATTATTTAAATAAAATATAATAAAATAAACATTAGCTTCCTATGTTTCTTAATTCTCGTGCACCAGTAATAATATAAATAAATATATATATTCGGACAAATAATCTGAAACAAATTAAATCTTATGTTTCATTTCCCAATATTAAATCTGAAATGATTCATTAGTTTGTCATGGCATCTTTTGTTATTTCCCAATAACGTCTGAGAAATTCTGTGTACGTAGAATGTCATTATTATTATTGAGAATTGACTTCAGAAACTACTCCATATGTACAGCAACTTGCTTATCTTATACCAAGTACCAATAAATCATGATTTTCACTACTTAGATTATGTTTTAATCAACACGTGAAAACGAATATAGGAATGGAGAAATTAAATCAAGTTAAACTATTCGATACTCGATTTTTTAAAAACAAGTTTGAGGTATCGGTTTGTTAACATAACAAACGGAGCGCGAATACAAATTTTCATTCGACATATAAGTTATTATGAAGTTCAAATGGCTCGGGTTCAAGATCGATTGAAAAAAAAAAATTAAATGATAAAATATGTACTATTGTAAAAATAAGTTATATATTTGAGCTGAATATTAAGACTAGTAAGCAATGCGATTGTTTTATGGTGATTCGACTCGAATCGAAGAAAGTACAATATATTTCAATCATCCCCCACCATTTTTCTGCCGGTCAATGATGGTCAACAGTCAGTCAACTTGAGTCAATGATTGGAGAATAGAGGGTATTAATATTTCAATTTTTTTTAGTAAAAATTATGTGTTAAGAGCATAGTTATCATGATCGAATTGTTTTCCTCCATATCGTATAAAAACTATACAAAATGTATACCACACAATAAAACTACAATAAACATGTAAAAAATAATATTTTAAAGCTAAATCATTTATTTGAAATAGATCTAAATTCAATTTTATACAAAATGTATACCACACAATAAAAATACAATAAACATGTAAAAAATAATATTTTAAAGCTAAATCATTTATTTGAAATAGATCTAAATTCAAGTTTCAACGTTAGATTATTTACTAGGACAAAAGTCATAGTTTTTAAAAATGTTAGTGTCTGATTTTATTACCTCTACTAATATAAACTGTTTTTGATTTATGTGATGTTGAACAAATTTGTTACTATTCATTTGGCACAATTAAATTCATCTGAAGCAAATTTGTTTCCACTTTGCCTTAATTAAAAAATAAAGACAAAAAAAAAAGGAAAAAAGAAAAGAACAATTGCTAATAAAAAAAAATGTGTTGAAAATTGCACAAATTGCCACAAATGTGCCGAATATCGCACAAAGCACCCCAAATTGTGTGGAGAATCGCACAAATTACCCCTATATGTGTTGAAAATCAATAAATCACTCTAATACATATATCGTATTGTGATACCGTATCGTATCTCAATATCCAACGATGTTTATTATTTACCGAAATTTGAGTAATGTCAATACACATGACGAGTTGTATTGTTTCAGAAGAATTCGCATCGTATCGCGATAAATATCGCAGTATATCTATTATTAATGAACTTGGAAAAAAAAAATTAATTTCACTTTATAGCTATTTTCAATGCCTTGTAACTGACTACATAATTCTCTCCCCCAAAAAAAAGAAAAAAAAAAAAAAAAAAAAAAGAACTAATGTAAATATAACATTATATAAGAACCTCATATTGAGGGGTGGGTCCACCATGGGGTTCAAATCAAACTCCACCATGAAAATTTATTTAGGGGGACAATGACAAGAAATGAATCTTTTATGTGGACGGTAATAAAACAGAAAGATTTCTTCAATTTGTACTGTTGGGCTATGGTTTATTTGTACGGATGATTTGTCCGAATACCATTCAATACTTTTTGCTCACATACCCTCCATTTAAGTTAATTTTACAAATTAAACCCCCAAATTTTGGTGACCACAGAAAACAGTCATAAAAGAGGACAAATTTATTTGTCCTTTTATATTGATGTTCATACCACCCGTGAACAATTTGGCAATTATAGGGGACCCCTAATTCTTGAATTGAAAATTTGGAAAAGCTCAACTCTTATCTACTTGTCAACACTTCTTTTTTATTATTTTATTTTTATTTTTATTATTATTTATTTATTTATTTATTTATTTAATATTTCCCTCCCAACAGAACCAGCCCGTGAACCATTTTTTTATTTTTATTTTTATTTTTTTCTTTCCAAGAAAATATGTTTTGTGGC